TACTGGCCCGCTAACGTAAGAAAACATTAAATTGATTAACGTTTGAAAATCTGCGAGCCTCTTTTAGCGTCAAAAAGATTTTGAAGGACAACTTACACCAGTGCAGCCGCCTGCCAGAAGCGCTCGCGTGAAGAGCTGCGAGCAAATAAATGATGAGGTAAGAAATGGATGGCTCTCCCCCGTTTTATAATGCTCGACTCTTATTAGCGTCAAACAACCCAAAAAGCACGCCATAGCGGTAAGGCCACCACCGGCAGCCTAGCTTCGCAGGAGCATCCGCCTGAGACGCTTTTATCACACCGGAGGTGTGGTTCTAGACACCATTTTTTAGGCCTGAATGATGCTAAATTTTTATTAGCATCGAGCGGTTTCTGAGGATTCACCTACTTCGCTGGGGCCATTAAGAAGCGGACCGAAGACACCAGCAAACCACTGAGGTAGAAAGCAGAAAAGCTATCAGTTTTGCTAAATTTTCATATCATTACTACTATTTCGTTTTGCTAAATTTTCATATCATTATTATTATTTCTCTTATTCTCTTTTATAGCGTCAGTGCAGCCGCCGGGAAACGATCGCGAGGGGAATTTTGAACAGTTAGATGAGGTAAGCAACCATAGTTTCTCTTCTCAAGTGTTGCTCGATCTATTTTTTGAGCCTGAATGCCAATAAATTCGTTTCTAGCACCAAACAATTTCCAAACACGTATCCACACTGGAGAAAACTGAATGTAGACGAGCTGGTTTACTCTACCAACCTACTGGGATAGAAATGAAAGCATGAAAGTGGTAAAGTTCATGATAATCCGCAGCTGTTCTAGCGTCGGCAAGATTCTGCGGAGCAATCCACATCAGTGCAGCCGCCTGCTACCAGCGGCTGTGTGAGAAGCCTTGATCAATCGGATGAGGTATAAAACGTATGCTTCTTCATCTAAAGCACATGCTTGATTTTTCCCAGTATAGTATAATTTACACTCCAAAGAGCAGCCCACATCGGAAGGTCCATTACGGGCAGTCTACCTTCGCAGCACGCGCAGAAGACCACTCAACCAGGATGAGGTAGGATTCAAGACGTAAGGTTCCGATTTATTTTTAGAAATACAACCACCGTT